TTTAGGGTCACTGATTTTTATTTTTAGTTTTAAGTTTTGTAAAGGAGAAAATGTTTTGAAGATTAAGAATTGAATATTGAGGATTGACGAGTTAAATTTAGAACCTGTGACACCTCCACGTAGGTTTTTTCTTTTAATTTCTCTGTCTCTGTATTTTTATGAATTGAGATGTTAGAATCCTTGATTTATTTTAAATTAATTATGCTTTAGTTTTATTTTGCTAGAGCTTTGATTTAGCCCCACTATGATATTTTAATTTCTTTTATTCGAGTTATTTATTTTTATTTTCTAAGATTGAGTGTTCATCACCGTTCTTAATACTTCTAATTAATTGGCCACTAATTAGATGATTGGTTAATCATAATAGAACTGGAAGGGGAATTATGTGTTGAGTTCATTGTGTTGAATGCCATAAATTGTATGTGAGATAGGAATATACTTGCATAATTTGTGTGGTCGCTACATGAAAATTCATGAACCGTTCATGACACTTTGATTGTTGTAATTCACATAGGAATATAGTGGGTTAGCAATTGAGGAGACTTTTGGTGTAACTCGGAAGAGAGCATTGAATAAATTAGGGATATTTGATTGTCAAATTGGATAATAAATATGAATAATGAGAATTGAGGAATTAAAGTGGATTAGTTATGGTGAAATCAATTGCTCTAGTGTTTTAGGGGTTGTTCGGATAGGTTAAAAACTCAAAAAAGGCAACTTGAATTTCAACTTTATTCAATTTCATGTTCTTTTAAGTTTAAACTCGAGTTTGAACTCAAGTTTGAACTCGAGTTCAGAAACTCGAACTCAAATTAATAAAAAATATTTTTTCTATTCTTAAAAATGCTATAACTTTTTCGTTAATCCTGATTGAGATGATTTTTTTTCTATGCGTTGACAAAGAAAAGACGAATAAAACCCCACTCATATACCCTTTTAAAATTTTTCATCACCATTGAGTTTTTATTAAAATACTATCTAAATACAAATTTAAGTTTTGACTCACTCAAACACAAACTCAAAAAAAATTCTTATCTCAAACCATAACTCAAATGTACACAACCAAACACAAACTCAAGTTACAACTTAAACTCAAGTTATAACTCAAGAACTACACTCAAGTCACACTCCAAAAGAACAGGCCCTTAGTTATTTGTTTTGTTTTATTTTTATTTGTTTTAGTATTATTCTTGTTTATTTGGTCGTTCAAATAATTTTAGAGTTAACCAATTTCAGTACTTAATTAAAAGTAACGCAATCCTCATGAGAACGATACTTTATTCACTACTTTATTACTTATGTGTGATATTGTGCACTTGTAATTTTCTCATCAATATCCAAACTTTTTTTTGTAAATTAATACCTACCACCCACATTTACAAGTTATAAGTTGTATCAAAACTCTTTTTTAATTTTTGACTCAATAGATTGGTGAATGAAGGTTATATCCAAACTGTTCGAAAAATCAAAATCAAAGATTGAAAGTAGTTTAGAAATTCGCTCCATTATTCAAGGTTAGATTTTTTTTTCTTCTCTTTTTCGTTTTGTAACATCTCGTTAAATTAATTGAGATTAATTAATCAAATTTAGTGGTTAGTGTTAATTAATTTGAGATTAGTAAAAGATTATCAGTTATAATTATCATGTAAAGGACTTTTCTCATTTAAAAAGGATTGTTTTGAAATTGACACTGTTATCCCAAACTCTATTTAAATTGAACTTTAAAGTCTAATTATCAATTTTACCCAGAAAGTCTAAGCCCATTTTTCTATTCTCCTTTTCTTTTTCTTTATTTTTTTCCTTCTTATCTCTTTTTCTCTCTTCCACGCTCACTCTCTCTTTCCTTCCCTCTCACCGC